AGTAGAATCAATTCATCCTATATAAACATCATCATAAAAATACAGCCAATTCCCCAGGACTATGAAATAAAGGAAACAGATCTTAGGAGGAAATACTTTTCCTTCATCCTGCCATGTTGTAGAACAGTCTAGGTCTGAAATAAGATTTGCCCAATGAAAGCAAGTTAAAGTAACCTTCCAGAAGGGTTTTTTAAAATTAGAATTAATATGAGTTATTATTATTATATACTGACTTTATTTTGCACAATTCAAGATGCTGCACATAAGCCCCTGCCTACTTTTTTTTCCTTATAACCTCCACCAACCTTGGGCTAAAGAGAAGACTGGCCTAGAGCAGTGGTCGCCAACCAGTGGGCCAGGGACCACTGGTCGTCCGTGAGAAAATTTTGGTTGTCTGCAGAGAAATGTCACTCCCAAAGCACCCCCAAAGCAATTAATCCAGGCTGCGCAGGAACACAAGGCCACGCCACCCACATGGCCCACGGGAACACAAGGCTTGCATCGCTTGCATTTCGAACAACACAAGGCAATGAGGGGAAGGGGTAAAGGGCAGAGAGGGAACTTGCCCCACTCACCCCAACGTGCCTGGCCTGGCCACTGGGCTGCTTCTTTCTGCTTCTTTCTTCTGCTTTTGGCTGCACGCAAGGAAAGCAGAAAAAGTCTTTCTTTCTCTCCCCCAAACTCCAGCAGAAATGAGTCTTTGGGACCCTGCAAGGCATCCTTGTCACCGTTGCGACAAGTCTCACAAGACTCATTTCTGGTGGAATTTGGGGGAGAGAAAGACTTCTGCTGTTTCTGCTGCTTTCCTTGCATGAAGCCAAAAAGTCTCTCTCACTCTCTCTCTCTCTCTCCCCCTGAGAAGATATCCCATGATTCCAAATAAAGAATGATCGATTGGTAGGAAAACAAGGTGGGCAATTTTCCTGCAGACTTTTTTGGGGGATTTTCCCAGGGTCTCTGGATTTAAAATTATAAGTTTGGTGGTCCTTGAGGTCCAAAAGGTTGGTAACCCCTGGCCTAGAGAGTCACCCAGCTGGAGTTTGTACCTAAAGGAGGATTAGAACTCACATGCTCTTGCTTTCTAGTCCAGAACCTCATACATTACAGTAAACCAGATTTATTGTTAAATAATGTTATGAGAATATATATTGTTTTATTTAGGGAGTTTTATTATTCAATTTCTGAATGTTATTAGTGGATTTATGTTTGTAATGGAAGTTTTATTTTTGCATGCTGATAAGAGGCATGATTATTATAGTATAAAAATATATAAATACTTATGTCTATTTATGCGCACACATGAAAAAAGACTGACTAAAAAGTCTTATTAAATAATTATTTATGATTCATGATGATATAATTGAAAGAATAATGGACATGAAAGAAAAGTAAGGATGCAAATAAGCTTGTAATGAAATACTTGCAAAAAGAGAAACGAATTCTATAAAATATTATAGACAAATGTTGAATGGAAATTGAACATACAGCAAGGGAATATAAAAACTGCTTGGAATTGAATGAAAAGAATCATGTTACAGCGTTACACAGAAATGTAGGAGCTATCAAAAGGAAATGAAATGCTGAAATGATGGAGTAAAAGGGGCTATGACTGAGAAATAAACACATAAGAAAATGGTATTAATAGAAAAATGAGTTGCAAAGATTGTAATCAAGGAGAGCAAGGAACAGCTAGGAAAAATGGGGAAAAAATGCAGAGTAATTCTGATGGCTGATTTAGAATGAAATGGAAATGAGGAAATCCTGAAAGAAGAATTTTAGAGAAGTATGGGGATGACAGCAGCATGTTGAAAGAAAACCCCTCAAAGCTCAAGACAAATGGAACTAATAAATGCTATGAGAAATCTGCAAGTTCTAATGGCATTATTGGAGCAAGATTAAAATATGAATGTGGCTTTCATTATAAATTTTTGTCATTTGCCTATGTATGTGTGTGAAAATGCATCTGGGGAAGAAGGACATCATTGTTCTCCAAATTAGGGAAAAGGTTGCAAGTGAATGAACAGCATAAAATATGTTGAGGTGGTTTGGTCATAAGAATGAATTGCAAAACAAATTTATCAAGGAAGAGTGAATGGGTCAAATGGAAAAGGAAGACTTAAAAAGTCATGGTCAGGTAGAGTTGATGAGAACTTTAGAAGTGAGACGTGAGAATTATAAGGAACAAAGGACAATGCATGATATCTGATGATTTTCAGGGGTGCAGCAAGGATGATTTGCAAGGGTAAAAAGATAAGAAGAGTAGTACTGAATGGTTCTGGTGCAAATTAAATTATTACAATATTGACTTTCCTCTTTCTTACCTCATTGGTTAATTTCTTTGGCTTATTATTTCTTATTTCTCTTCTGCACAAAGTCAGGTCATTATGCAGCTTTTCAAGTCCTATAAGTAGTACCACTAAGTAGTTCAAGAACATGTTTTTTTTAAAAAAAAAATCAGTTCTACATTTAATATAGAACACATGCTATATTTTACATAGTACACCTTACATTGAGCTAGCAGCTCCTCTTGCATATCAGTGGAGTTTTATTTTCATTTGTTTAGCCAAAAATTATTTGGAAGGATGTTTATTCAGATATGTTTCTTTTAATAAGAATCATTGTTGGACTTGAAGATAATAAATCCTATTTGAATGCAACATAGTTGATATAAGTTTTGTGATAATCCAAAATATGTTTATTATATTAAAAAGGGGGAAGGTTTTAATGCTCATTATTATAAAAACAATCTCATGGGAAATTTAGCTAGATAGTTTGGGTTGTTTTCTCTAGAAACTGGACAAATACAGTCAATTGCCTTTTTCCACACAAAATTTAATTTGGAAAATTATTCCATATATCAAGTATATATGTGTTCGATTTCCCTAGAGAACTATGTATATTTACTGTCACAATTGTATCTATCCTTCCTCCAAGGCACTCAGGTCTGCGTTATGGCATTATCTATTTTATTCACACAACAGGATTGATAAAAGGAAAAATTTCTTTGTACAACAGGCAGCTAAAACTATGAAATTCATTGCCCTCATTTACAGTAATAACCTTTTTAAAAATGTTTTTAAGGGTGCTGGATAGGCTGAGCAGCTAAATATTACCTTCTAAATCCCAGATAGCACACTTTAAATTAGCAGCTGGTGGGAAACAATAGTCAATAAAGGTTATTGCCTGAAGCTACCCAGTTGATCATTCTGTGACAAAGAAGAGGGCACAAGATGGACAGTAGCCTGATCCAACCAGGATTTTTTAACATTCTTAACAATCTCTGATTTGAACTGTGAGACAAAAGCCTGCACAAGGCTGTTTAATCATATCATGGAGCAACAAGCATAAATAACCATTACCCTGATATTGTACTGTGATATGGGGAAATTCAAGGTAATTTTTTTACAAGTCTTCATAGTAATGAAGCTTAGTTTCCAGCATAAATCATGTTTAGTTTACATAGCAAACCCTCCCTGAAAACATCTATCAAATTGTCAAAGTTCGAAGTTATGTTTCATGACAGCTCTCTTCAATAATTCATCTTTGGTTCCATTGCATCACTTTGAATTATGGCCATGTAAAAGTTTCTAGGATTGGAATCCTAGACATTTTTTTAAAAGGGTGAAAAAAAATTAGACTCAGAGAAAAAAAATGTATCAGAAACCCCCCCCCAGAAATGACATCTCATCTAAGCTGTGAATCTCTAGTCCGGAAACTTTACTAACTTCAAATGTTTTAATACAGAGTTACTTGTCTTTACAAAGTTAGATTATTTCCTGATCTTCATTACTACTATTACTGCTACTACTATTATTATTCCATTTGTATTCCACCATTCTGATTAGTTTTTTCCTCTTGGAAAAGCAGCTTGTCCTCCCCATACTGAATCAAGATACCCAACTTTCAAGAGTAGCTTTCATGTAAGTTTCAAAATAAAAAATCACAATTTTCCCATAACACTTTGCATATAATTCCAGTCACTTTGTTCCTTATACAGACAACCAAGACCTGTATGTATTGTGTCAGATCCAGACTGAAATGCACTTAGAAAAAATTCACTGAAATAAATTGGACAAACTAGTGATAACTAACAAATCTGAGTCACTTTCATGGGTTTCTTCTACATAAACTTGGATCTGACCAGTATGTTTTTTTAAATAAATGTATGTGTTTGGGCGAATAAGTTTCTTTGTATCTATGAAGGGAGCAATTTAAGGCATACAAGAATATATTTGCTGCCCCCGACCATTTCTTTTGTAGCTCTAGACCCACCTCTGACTACAGTTACAAAAAGTTGGTGGCATTGTTTCCTGCCATTTTGATATGAGATATTCCTCCAGAATGCCCTAAAATAGACTTACCACAGTTTTAAAAATAATAGCAACTCTTCCTTTCTGATCAAAACTTTGAAGTGGAAAAAAAAGAACATCTTGGCTCTTCCCTTTTGCATCCCCAATATCTTGGCCCTTGACTATCCACAGGCTGTTATGTGTGGTCCTGGTAATTAAAGTTTGGACACGTCTTATTGACATGTCATTTGAAATGCATTTCAAAATCAAGAGTATTTTAAAAACACATATATGCTTTCAACTCTAAATAGTGCATATCATCTAGGACAGGGGGTCTCCAACCTTGGCAACTTTAAGCCTGGAGGACTTCAACTCCCAGAATTCCCCAGCTGGCTGGGGAGTTGAAGTCCTCCAGGCTTAAAGTTGCCAAGGTTGGAAACCCCTGATCTAGAACTTCTCAGGATTTGGAGAAATGTGTGTAGAAACATTCATACCTGCTGAGACTATGAAAATGAAGATGTTTTCTCCTTTATAAATCTGGGCTCTTCTGAGGTAAAGAGCAAGTGACCATCCCTCGAACAGAGCAGGGAGATATTCCTCTTAAGTCAGCTTCATAATTCCTCAGACACCAAGATCGAAAACAATGAGGAAGAACTTACTACTTTCTTCAATATATTAAGTTCTGCTATGAAATGCAATATGTGCTATTTGTTAATTTAAAAATTCTGCAGAAAGACTCCTACTATACCTAGCAGACCGGAACTTGAGCTCATGGTAACACTGAACAAAGCTGTGGTAGATGAATGTAATAGGCAGGGCTAGCAAAACAATTCCACTGACTACACAAATCCCTCCAAGAATCCTTCCAGGTACCGTGATAGGACAAACATCCCCATAACCAACTGTGGTCATGGAGATGATAACCCACCAGCAAGCAGCAGGAATGCTTGCATAGCCTTCATTGGGCTTTCCTATTTTCAGTCCGTGTTCAAGAAGCTGGGCAAGAGCACTGAAAATTGCCATTGCAACACAAACGAAGACAAGCAGCATCACCATCTCTCTGTAGCAACGCTTCAATGTCAGGCCAAGTGTCTGGAGGCCGATGAAGTGGCGGGCCAGTTTAATCACCCAAAAAATCCGCATCATTCTCAGAACCCGTAAGGCGACTCCAGCCCTCTGAAGCTGAGAATTCTCCCCTGTAAAAATTGTCATCAGCACAGAAATATAATATGGAGTGATAGCCAACAAGTCAATGATGTTCAGAGGTCTCTTAACAAACTCACACTTGTCTTTGGAGACAATGAACCTCACAATGCACTCTGCCGTGAACCAGCCGATGCAAATTGCTTCAATTATCCTGTCAAAAAAAAAAAAAAAACATAAGCAAAGCTATTACATTTATTTGAAACTCTTCATTGGGAATATTTTTCAATGCTATAGGCTTTTTTAATGGACACTTTTACATTGACATGGACTCAGACTTTTAGTAGATAAGCATGCCAAATTCAAAGTCAAATTAGACTTTATACAGATTTCTGCATATTGTTTTTCTTTCCAAAAATCATCATTACATTAAAAGTTATCTATGTGCATTCTCATCTTGTTAAGTTTTCCTAAAGCTTTTAAAAATATTTTGATTTCTGAGGGAAGGGATTATTATTATCATTAAAATCTGAGGACTGGTCATGTTAAATGTTTCATATCTTTTCATTTACTTATTTGATTTTGGGAGGAGCGGCTTGTGTATATGTGTGACACAATTTAATGTTCCTAGATTTGGTTCAAACTATATTGCAGTTTAAATTATCTGTGAATACCTCTTCAAAATACTAGTGTTGGGCCATTTAAAATGCTTTTCTGGATGAATGATTGCTATTCAGCAGTAAAATACCTCAAGCAATCTTCCAAAGCATTTGAAATCACTATATAGAATGGAACGGCTCTTTGTGTTACTACAATCTTGAAAGAGAAGCAGATAGCGTTTGGGAAATGTTAGAATTGTTCAAACAGAAGCACTAAAACATTGATGATTCTTCTGATTTAAGCTGAACATTATGCTCAGACATGTCTAATGCCTTTTGAACAGAACACATATTTAATCATTGCAGCAATGCCAGTCATCAAAATAAAAGCCAAAGGAGACCCAAAGCTTCCATAGATTTGGTAATCTCCATATGTCTTGGACTTCAGTTGGCCATTCTTTGAGCTAGCATAAATATGGAAGGGTTATTATGTTCCAGATGTCCAGTAAAGAGCAAAGAAGAGTTAGTTGCCGTCAGGGGAGCATCCAGATATTTGCAGACCAGATATGATAGTTCTGCTTAGGGAGATTAAAGTCCAACTCATCCAAAAGACCTGGTTTATTGGGAAAGGACGCTCTACAATGATGGCTCAACTTCTTCCCACCTCTAAAATCATGCTAAACTATACCCTTGCTCTATTCAAAACAGCAAAGTTTAAAACAAAGTAGAGGTTCCAGTCTAGCAGTGATAATATTTGAGAAGCTGTATTGCATGAGAAAGAGAGGATTTGCACTGTAATTCTGAAAATATTCATGGAGATTATATGAATTGGGACAATTTGGACTCCATGTATATAAAAGGGGCCCAAAAAACACTGTATAACACTATCAGAGGTAGTAAGTTTGCAACAAATAGTTCTACCCTACTGTTTTCCTGAATTAATTACAAAATGGCAAAAATGACATTTTGAAATTCACTTGGTTTTTATTTCTGTATTTCTTAGACTTCTACCAGCTGGGTATTGAAAAGAGACATCCTCCCCACTTTGCCCAGTGCTTCCCTTGTGTTGCAGCTGGAAGACTGAAAATTCAGACTCAGTCTGTAGAGTCAAAATGGGATGCCAAAGTAAGCAAAATCCTATGGCAAGATGAGCATAACTTGTAACCTGTAGAAATTTCCAAAGCTGGAATCATTTCAGCATTTGTGGTACCACAATGAAGATACACCAAAACAGTCAATCATAGAGTCTTCCCATAGCTGTACTTTTGGCTCAGACTGTTTTATATCCATTTCCAGTGTATACCATGTTTCATCAGTATATTTTATCAGTAATTAATAACCAGTAATTATTAATTCACTTAATTTTGTTTGTCCTATCTTTGCTATTTTCTTAAGTAAGGTTTGAATAAGTACCTTTACTGGACCATGTAAAGAAACTCAACATGGCACAGGGCTTTTGCCTACACTGTCGTTTTTCTGTCTGTTTGCCTTTAGGGTTGGTGGTGGTGGTGGAACTGGGAAGAGAAGTATCTTAAATTTAAGACTGATTTTTTTTCAGGTAAATATGGTGCAATCTTTTTGTTTTGAAATGGGTGGCTTTTTACTTAATTTGTGGGTAGAGTGTTTTAACTTTGTTTTTCAATCCTTTAGAATTATTCCATTGCATATTAGAGAGACAATACTGAGAGCTTGGTCAATCATTCTTTACATGCTATTTAAACTTAATAACATGATTTACATTTAGTTCACTGCCTATCAAGAGAATGTATGTATTCACCTAAGACTAGAGACATATACCAACTAGATTATGTATTTTTAAAAATTGGAGGATTAGTTCTGCTCATCTAACATAACCTGAATGCTGTAATTCATAATAGAGCCTAAACTATTCAATTATGAATATTTTCCTCCATTTTATCAGAGTAGCCTTCTCTGTCTCATTTCACTCTTCTCTCTTCATTCTGCTTTCTGAAATCTGTTTCCTGATGAAGAGTAGCAGAATCTGTCAAAATCCTAATAGATGCAACAATAGTGACATTTTATTTCAGAGTGGTACATGTTAACTTTGCTCTGATTATTTTTTGTTTAAACAATGAATTATGCAATCTAGGTTTATCCTGGTCTGTGGTTTCCAATCTAGTTGCATACATAATTTTGTTAAGGAACAAAAAGATAAATAAATATAGAGTAATACGTCATACAATAAGCTAGATGTCTACTCAGTAGTAATGCAAACAACTCCTGTATACTTCCCTCACCTTGTAATGCTGAACTACAATCCTTTAAAAAAAATAGTTCCAATGGAAAATATAGTAATATTTTCTAATCTGGTGCTCTGCCAAGATTTGGGGGATACTATTTATTTGACATATGTATAAGGGCACCTGACTCCAAATGAGTCTGGGCAAATGGGATGAAAAACAATAAAACAATTAGTCAAAAAATAACAATGGCTTACCCAGAAGGAATGACCCACAAGTGAACTCTCACACAGGCCTACCTCTTCCTCCTCCATTCACCCTAATCCAAGGCCTGGAGGAAGAACCAGATATTCAGAGTTTACTGGAAGGAGAGCAGGCACTTTGAATCTCCCAGAATTTCCCATGTTTAGGAATTAAACTCATTCAAAAATGTAGTTCAGCATTACTTGCAGGGACACAGAGAGCGCTGACATGAAAAATAATGAAGCTAAATATTCCAATAGATATGGCCATTTTATTTATTTTGTGTTCAACTTTCTTAATTTAGAATATTTATTACATTTCTAAGAAAATTATTTTAAAAATTGTGTGATGATTCTAAACTTAGGTCTCTTACAACTCTCCGAGTCCTGGGAGATTACTCTAAACCAGTCCTTTCATTTAATTACTTTCTTACTTTTTGCTCCAATGGGTAAGACTTAAACAAAATAGTCTTCTAGTTTAAACTGCTTCAGATTTTTTTTTTAGAATCAGTAATAAAGCTAGTTTGTTGTATTCAAAGTAATTATATTCTGAGCTGTCAAAGCAGCTTTCAGTTGCAAATTGTACATTTTCCTTTACAAACTTTTACCGAATTTTTCTCTATTTTTTTGAGAGCTAAAAATAGAAAAATCAAAGGAATAGCCTCATCATCCTGTAAATATCTGAATAAAATGGAATATACAAGACAAGAAACATGAAGGGAGGGGCAAAAGACAAGACAGCCTGTGATTAAACTTGACAACATCAGTTTGTGGATGAGAATATGCTTTTATTCTTGCATCAAAGTACCTTTAGAAACCAACAGCATATTCCCACCGCTACCCTTACACAATCCCAATAAAAGTAGTAATTAACCTTTTTTGAATTGTTTAAAAGTAAATGTGAATTTGGGGTAGAATAATATTTATTATTTGTTCAGAAGGAAGATTTACTAGCACTTACCTCCAAGTATACTTAGGATTCAGTGGCTCATAACATCTAGCACAATGCTATTTGTATTTATTTTGCCTGTTTTATATTTGCTATTCTTCCTCATTCTTGCCAACAGTCTCCTTCACAGTTGTTCTTTCTGTACCCACCCTTGCATAAATCTATCCTTTCTGTACCCACCCTTGCATAAGTCAAACTGGCAGGGAGAAAACAGAACTACTTAATTCCTTCTTTGCATCTGCCTTTACGCAAAAGGAAAAATAGCCCAACCTACCAAAAGCAGCACTGTGAGAGACAGAAGAGGAATGCAGGTCAGAAATAGGCAAAATTGATAAGATTTTCTGAATGAAATCTTTTAGAATTGGATCACTCCATGTACATCTACATGAAGGAAAACATGCAATGGGATAACTCAAGGTTTTGAGCCTGGTGCTCTTCAAAATCCTCATAAATGATCGAGATGAGAGGATAGAAGGAGAAACTCATCAAATTTGCAGATGACACCAAGTAGGGTGGGAAAGTTAACACTTGGAAGATAAGCTTAAGATTCAGGATCTTGACAGACTTGAGCATTGGGACCTATCTAACAAGATCAATTTAGTGGTGAGAAAAGTAAGGCCCTGCCCTTAGGTAGGAAAAAACATTTGCACAGGTATAGAATTGGAGGTACCTGGCTCAAAATTAGTACCTCTAAGAGGGATCTAAGTATCCTGGTGTATCGTCACTTACAGTAAGTATGAATCAGTAGTGTGCAGCAGCTGCCAAAAACCCAATGCATCTAGGCTGCATCAACAGAAGGACAACATCAAGATCACAGGAAATGATAGTACTGCTTTATACTGTACTGGTAAGGCCACAGTTGGAATATTGCAACCAGTTCTGGAACCCACGAATCAAAAAAGAGTGCAGAGAAGAGCAATAAAGATGATAAGGGGCCTGAAGGCTAAATTATACAATGAATGACTAAAGGAATTAGATACGTTTAGCTTAATAAAAATAGCAGTCTTTCAATATCTGAAGGGCTGTCATGGGGAAGAGGATGTCAATTTACTCTCTGTAGCAAGTGAAGGCAGGACAAGAAGCAATGGGTGGAAGTTCATGGAGAGTCAACTGGAAATAAGGAATTTCCTAACAGTGAGAGTGATTAAGCAATGGAAGAGCTTACCTCCCAAGGTTGTGAATGTTCCATCACTGGAGGTTTTCAAGAAAAGATTGACAGCAAT